TTGGCACACAGCAGGCCCCATTTGTCTTCACTTGGTATGTTTCCAAGGAAACGCTGCTGGGYGAAGGCAGACCCAAGGTCACTATCCCTCAGGCAGACCTGGGACTCCTTCCTCAGAGCCCAGCTTGATATTAACCCTTTATTCATGCAAGATCACCAAAGGATCTTGCTCCCACGGGGACCCAGGAAGGTGGGCCCTGGGCAGTGGGCMGTGGAAAATCCTGGCCASTTCTCTCTCTTGAGTGGGGTCAGCGACCCCTGGCAGGGCAGCTCCTGACTGTGTCCCTTCTGTGCCCATCCTAGAGTGGCCAGACTTTGTGAACAGCTACGCCTCGTGGTGGTCCTCGCACGTCCTGGACTGGCTCAAGTATGGGAAGCGGCTGCTGGTGGTGCATTACGAGGAGCTACGGCGCAGCCTGGTGCCCACGCTGCGGGAGATGGTGGCCTTCCTCAACGTGTCCGTCAGTGAGGAGCGGCTGCTCTGCGTGGAGAACAACAAGGAGGGCAGCTTCCGGAGGCGTGGCCGACRCCCTCAGGACCCAGAGCCCTTCACCCCCGAGATGAAGGACTTGATCAATGGCTACATCCGGACAGTAGACCAGGCCCTGCGTGATCACAACTGGGCGGGGCTGCCCAGGGAGTACGTGCCCAGATGATAGGCCTSGGCCCCAGCTGGTCTGCTGCTGAGAATAGACTGTCACACCTTGGGGCTCACCACTGCTCTGAGGCCCAGGCTGGAGGACCCCTGGGACACATGGCTGCTTGTGCAGCCAGCAGGGAGGCCCACTCGGGTGCTGCCCTCCTTGCAGGGAGACCTGGACACRGCATCTGTCCAGACACACCTCACAAGACAGACAAACAAAAACAGGCACACTGCAAGCCAGACACTTTTGTTCTCACACACACAGACATGACGCTCACAGTGCCTGTTTGGATGTGACTGAACCACCCGTGCAGGGTGCGCCAGACACCCCCAGCCTGGCAGACGCAGCCAGAGATGTGTACACAGACGTGATRGGCCAGGGTGTGTGCCACCAGAGGTCATCTGTTTGTCTGTCTCACACACCCATGTGCACATACATGCATCCTGGCCTCTAAGAAGCCTAGGCTTCCTGTGTGCAGCCCCAGCACTGACTTGCCTGCCAGGCCCTGGACTGTGGAACGCCAGGAGGGCCAGGTATTAGTGCTCTGAGCAGCATGGACCATGGGGATGGAGGTGGACCTACAGATCATTGCTGTCGGGCCGTGGAGACCTGACCACATGTCTGACATCTCATAAACGTGTGTGCTGTGACTACCAGGCACCGCCAACTGTAGCCCTGCCTCTCTCTGCTCTGTGGGTGGGCTGGCGGCACTGTGAGTAGGGTAGATCCCACCCCTTCCCCTGGCCAGGGCACACATACTGACCTCAGGCAGCTGCAACAGCTCCTGAGCTGCCACCCGCTTCCAGTTCACCCAGATCAGTGCGCCTTGGAGTCTTGGAGTGGGGCCCTCTTGCCCGTCTTCCACGGCCTCTGGGGAAGCTGGGGATTCATCCTGCCCCAGGAARCAGGTTGTGAGTGCCAGGGGGCAGGGCAGGGCAGGGCTGGGCCTCTAAGGGAGCCTGAGATCAAGGGGTTCATGTGCCAAGAAGAGCGGGCTGGGAGCAGGCATGGGGACTTCAGGGGTGTATCTTGGGGACCCCTGGAACKGATTACCCACATGTATTGACAAACTCCTGCTCTCTCTGGGGATCATAAGGATGGTGTGCTATGTGACCTTTGCAGGAGAGGCTGTGGCACAGCTTCTGCCTGAGCCCTGGTGGCAGAGCCCTCCCTGTCACTCACTCCCCCCTGACACTTCCTGTCACTGTTGCATTGTGACAGCATCTTCACCACACCCTCTGTCTGTTTCTGGGAGGCTGACATTGTTCCCACTTGTTCATCCGTTTCCTCCAAAGGGAAAGGAAGTCAGACACACTGACGCCTGCTGTGTGCTGTCCACTTGGGAAGGCGGAGGCCAAAGGCCCCTCTTGCCTCCTGAACCGCCCATCTCACTATCTATTGGGGCAGAGGAGGCCCTGCCACAAGAGAACAGAGCACTGTCACAGAGGAGCACGTGTGCTGTGTGACTCAGAGAGGACTCCGCCCTTGTGCCCAGGGTCTTTGGGGAGTGCCTCATAGCTGCTTTGAAGTGTCTTGAGGAATCTGTAGGAATTATCCCAACAAAGGACAGGGGAAGGGCCCACTAGGCAGAGAGCAGCAGCTACAAAGGCTCAGGGGCTGTGCGGCCCTGGCCTGCATGCAAAATAGGCAGATGGTTGAGCGTGGGGTGGGAGTGTCTTTCCACATCTGCAGTGGGGAGCAGAGGGGTGGTGAGGAYGGAGGTGGGGCACTCTGTCCTCACAGCCACTCAGTGCCAGCCTGAGACCAGAGTGCTGCTGATGCTAATGACCTGCATGGCTCACCCTGTGCCACATGTCTTGGGCTTAGGAGAGGTTGGTGACTGGGTGCAAGACACTGGGTGGTCCATGTGCCWGCAGGAGTGTGGAGATGGGATTGCACTCTGGCCTTGGCAGGGAGAGGAGCCTGGGTGGGCTGGGCCTATCCTGGGAAAGCCATCGGGGAGACCTCCCTTAGCCAGAGCCAAGCTGCATCAGGAGGAGGTTCAGGATGAGGAGTTTGGGAGCACTGGGCAGTGGAGCACTCCAAGTCTTTGTTCCCTGGCCCCGCTGTCTCCAAGTAAGAACAAGCCAGGGTACAGGACCCAGGGGAGCTGTCCTTCCGGCCATCAGGGGGGCTTGAGRCATCCTGGTAGTCTCCAGGTCTTTCCTGATGCCAGGCTGTTCTTGGTCCTCTCTCAGCATCACTCAGTTTATCTGAATATTTGGAACAGCCAGGTCATTCATTATTGGCTCAGGATGGCTCTGCCCATCGGTTCTGTGAGGGTTCCTCCTGAGGTTGTTTCCCTTGGGTTGCAGGAGGAGTTGAGGCCCACGGGACTTTCCTTGCTACCTGGGCCCGTGTGCATCCCAGAGCAAACCTGGAGTCTCACAAAAAGGAATAGGCATAGCATCAGACTGCTGAGGAATAGGAATGCAGGCCTCCTCCCAAGGTAGGCTCCCTGACTCAGGCCTTCATCTCCCAAGTCATCCAGAAGGCTGAATCCATGGAGGCTGGGAAGGGCAAAGATGGAGTGAGAATACTTAACTGGGCCTGTAGCCAGGGCATGACCCTCTGTGTTTCTCCTWCCATCACARGAGTCTGGGAYGAGCAAAGGCYCCAGAGGTTTCTCCTGAGTTAGTACATTCACTGTTGCCATATGCCCCAAAGCATCATCTGCTTTCAGGTGGCATGCCACTAGCTCGCATGGCCTGTGGTAGATGGTGCATATAGCTAGTAGTACAGGTGAGTAGAGCAATGATGGCTGGGTCCATCCCATTCACACTGAATCACTCCAAATAGCAAAGCACCTGACACTTGATAGATGATGCTTCTGGATGTTGGATGAACAAGGAAGCACAAAGACCCTGTGGCAGCTGCTGGTCCTCAGTAGCCTTCATCCTAAGTATAACTCATTAACAGGATGGGGGATTTGCTCATCCTTTTGGGAAAGTTCATTTGACTCCAAGTTAAGTCTGATCTACAGCTCAATAAAGAAGACACGGTCCCAACCAGCCAAGGGTAAAAGCTGACCTGTTTATTGGGCAGAAGTGTGGCAAATGCATCAGGGTCCAATTAGAACAGAAGAGAAAAACACTGTCTTCAGATTCTATCTTCAACAGCAAAGCTATGGAGTGACACAAACCTGTGTTAAAACATGTAATTTTCATGGATTTTATCTCCTGTTGTGGATCAATTTGGAAAAACCAAAATATATAATTTTAAAAAACTAAAACACATTCTGATAATCCCAGTGATGTGTAAATGAGGGAGAAGAATAGACAGACTCCCAAATCCTGGGAAGAAAGCTGCTTAATTATGTGAGCATCTTATAATGAAGCTTCTTGCAGCTAAAATTAGATTTTGAGTGCATGAATATGCGATAATGTTTGCACATCAGAATGCAGTTTTTCCTCTTAAAAGTAGCAAGAGCTACTTGGTTCTGAGGAGGCCTCACAGGGGGAGAAGGAAAGTGTTGAAGATGACCCTTATGRTGGCAAGAATCCTTGGGGGCCCAGGTTTGTTTTCTTCTGACCTGGAAACTTAGTGAAGGCRTTGGAAAGTCAGTGATTCCAAAGACGTTCATGAGGGTTAGGGAGAAATCAGTTGGWCTGACCTCACACTGGTCCTCAATCGTGGGTGCATTGGCCTGAACAAGAGAAAAGTGGGATGGGAATAGGAGAGAGTCTGTGATGGCCAGACTGGGTTGTGGTTCTCAGCTCTGCTGCCATCTTGAACAGGCCATCTCTGTTCCATTTCAGTCACCCACAAACCAAGGGATATGATAGATATTGGTTGCATCCCCAGTATCCATTCCCCATTTCCTCMTTCATGCTGGGGCCCCATGTGATCTGGTAGAGCTGTCTCTTTGGGGGAGGAACACTTGACTTAGGRTAAGCCAACAGCACATTCCATCTCCCTGGCTGAAGAACAGGTCCAGATGTGGCCAGGTGAGCTAAGTCTGTGCCACCAGAGGGAATTCTAAGATGTTTCTGGGAATGTTGGGTAGCAACCTGCTGGATGGGAAGAAGGAAGCATGGGTTGAAATGGTGCCATGGTGAGGAATCACTCTCAGCCTGAAGCTGGCAGTCCAGGAGGGAGAGTCCAAGAAGCGGAAATAAACCAGTCCTTGGTGACCCTGTTCACGTCCAGGGTCAAACCTTGCCTGAGAGTGGCCCTACCTCTGGACTTCTTTGATACATGATCCAATAAAGTCTCTTTATTGTTTGAGTGGGGTTGAGTTGGGCTTCTGTTGTTCACAACCCAGAGCAATGTACAAAGAGCTGGGATTGAAAAGCCCTGAGGCACTGACTTTCTGTCTCTGTAGCTAATGTAGGTAACACCTGGAACTCAGACCGCCATGAGCCGGTAGGACTGGGAGGTTCCTTTCACAGGAATGGAGCTGGGTGTGAAATGCTCAATAAAAAGCYGTGCTCAGTCAGCCCAGACGTGTCAGACTTTTAAGTCAGTATGTGGATGTCACCCCAGATACCCTCAGGAAATAATTCCTCTGGGTGCTCAGCCCCGATCATCACTTGTCTCATTCGATCTTTATCCACCCATGGGTGAGGTTATTATTCGATCATTATCTTTGCTTGACAGAGGAGAGGACTGGGATGCCAAGCTTTCATGGTTATTCCAGTATRGCCCTTTCATGGAGGATACATGGTGGTGTTGGAAGGAGTTTGATATGCTTCTTGGATTGGGGGTGAAGAGTTGTAGGGGATAGCAGAGACTGATGGCAGCAGATCAGCAACACACTGCCTTCTGAGGAGGGCAGTTATAGTGAACCACACAACTTTGAGTTTTGTTTTGAATGGAACATGCAAGCTTGGGGCAGAGTCGAATTGTCACCGGAGGAGAGCTGACGTGGTGCCACCAAGGAGTCCCATCCTGTCTTTCCCTCTCTAACCCCACTGGGTGCTAGAAATTGGAGTAACAAAGAGAGTTAGTGATGTGGAGTCCCTATCTTCAAGGTCTCATTGGATTGACTGTCATGTTGTATGCCAGGTGGAGGTCTGTACAATAGAGAGAGATCGATGAGGATCCCAGGACATCTGAGTAAGTGTATTTGCCAGTTACAGCAATTGTGGCTGAAGATAGCCAACCGTGGCTCCTTTAGAGAACTTCAAGGGTTCAGGAACATTGTAGAAAAACTCAGGCCTCTGCCATGGGAAATATGAGCGGATCCACCTTAAATTGTAAACAAGATTGCTTCTCTAGTATCAAGAAACTTGATATTAATCAAAAGTGAAAAGAATTTCAGCAAAACCACAAACTGAATGAATTAACTTTCCAGGGTATCTTCAGTATCTGAGACATCTATTTTTCCCCCCCATATTCAGGTATCATGGTGACAAATCCATACCTTAAAGGTGTGGCCCCTGATGATCAGTGAACAGTCAATAGTGTCCCTATGGGTCACAGAGTTCCATGGTATGATCATTCCACACGTGTCTCGGTGAGGTAGACATTATTATTTCCACTGGGAGAGAAGAGAAAATTTAGTTTTTGAGATTGAGTTGGCCAAAGTTTAGCACTTTATTTTACAGATTATAAAAACGAGACTCAGCATGGAGAGGGTCTTGTACAAGGTGATGCTATAAGAATGAGCGATGGAGCTAGGACTGGAATATTGGCTCTATTAGACCACCTGATTGTC